CCATTTTCTGACGGGAGCTAATCTGAAGAAAAATTGAATACTGCTTTCTATTTCCTCCATCTGTGATGTGGAACTCCCTCTCTGGATATCAGCAATTGTAAGAAGGACACTGTTCAGGAAGCTAGTTGATGCTCTGTATGTGATGACTACTTCCATTCTGGAGAGGATCACAGATACATGGATCCTGAGATTCAAGCTCAAGCCGGGGACCAGGGAGATTAACATCAGTGTGGTATCTGCGTGTTGTGTTCAGGTACCTTTTTGTTGCCGGTGCGTTCAAGCTCAAAGCAAAGCGTCAGGTGAGTGAGCGTCGGGATGGAAACGGAGCCGGACACCTGGGTCACCTGGTTACCGTGGGAGATGGTGACCTTCTGGTTCCTGAGGGCCACTGCCACTGGAGAGGAGGAAGAGGAGGAGGAGGAGGAGGAGGAGGAGGAGGAGAGTAAAAAAGGCAAATGAGGAAAAAGCGTGGAGAGGAAATAAAATGATCCAAGATGGAAATAAAAGTGAGGAAGCAAAGAGGAAAGAGGTCAGACAGAAAGAATGAAGATACATAATGAGACAGAAATATGTTTAATTTAAATGTATTTAACTAATAATGCCATTAACTTATAAATACGTACATGTAGGAGAATTCTCCCAACATGACGTTCTGTGTCTTATTCCTGAACACTTGAAAGCACTGATACACATTCAGGTTCACGAGCACACTAACTCACATCATTACCATAACAACAAGGTGAGATCAGTCGCCAGATGTTAGCATCTCTGAATATTCAACCGGGTATCACGGCAAGACGTGACGATTCACCACGCTGGGAGACGTGAAGACGTTACGAGTTCGTCCCTTCAAACGTGACGGTTACAGTTACCACGGCCCTCAGCGCAGAAACACTCCCCGTGTTATGGAGGTTATTCCCTATCTTTGTTCAAGACCGTGTTCTTTCAAATTTGAGAAAATACCCAGCGTGGTGAATCGTCACGTGTTCACACCTTGCCGTGATACCGGGTTGGAATATTACTAATGACGCGTTTCCACTGCAGCGCGGAGCTCGCTTTAAGCGTGCCGAGCCGTGCCGAGCCGTGCCGAGCCGTGCCGAGCCTTGCCGAGCCGTGCCGAGCCGTGCTGAGCCGGGCTGAGCCGTGCCGTTTTTGTCTGCGCTTCCACTTGGCCTAGTTCCGGCCCGGGGCTACTTTTTTCACCTTTTTTCTGGACCGACTAAATCGTGGTTCTATCGAGGCCAACAAGCAGGGCTGAGTCGGGCTGAGTTAAACTAGAGAGAGAATCGCTGTGCTTGCTTCACTCACCGTAACAGAGGCCAACGTTCGTCCTCTGAAAGGATCGTTTCTAACGTGCTGTGGAGACACCAGGAGGTCAGAGGGTCGCTCCCATTGGGAACACCACGGATGTTCAATTGCTAACGGCTAACGATTAGCACGTGATGATACCAAGTTTTCACGACATCAAAGCTAATCTCAACATACGGCGGATTCACTTCTGTTGATATAATTAGAATCTGACATGAAGGAACTGAGGGTTAAATGAAGTTAAAATGCAGAAAAAAGCAGCATGTGTTGCTGGGATGCCCCAATGCATTCTGGGAGGATACACACTTGAAAGTGATGATCATGGTTTCCATGAATTGCTCCTGTATTTTTTATTTCAACATAAGATGTTAGAAAACAAACTAACTTATTAACAAACAAATAACTAAAAAACGATATATTGCATTAATATACTGTGAAATAAATATAATCTTTTGGATATATATTGAAGTACAATGTTCCCATTTCTACTTCTTTATGTTCATTTAAATATTTTTGCTGCATGTATCTAATCTGAGGGGAATTTATTGTTGTTTCTTTTTAACTTTTGATGTGTCGCCATTTTGTAAAGCACTTTGAGCTGTTGTATGAAAAGAACTGTATTATTATATCTACGCTTCCTCTGGGGAGGAGCCTGGGACTTTTCATTGCCATTTCCACACTGTAGCGTATGTGCACATGACAAGAAGACCTTTGAATCTCTGAACGTTAGCCTGGGTTAGCTTCCTCTGAGGAACCTTACCGTGCCGGAAGCTAACACTGAACCCTCTCTTCTGCACGCTGAAGTCGGAGTTGAAGGAAAGCTCCATCACGTTCCCGGTGGAGTTCAGCGTCAGCCCGTTGGCGGTCGGACCGCAAAACTTAACGTCCGCTTTCCCCGTGTTGACCAGCACGCGGTCGTAGATACAGCCCGGCGCCTCCTCCAGGTCGAAGTCCAGGAAGGAGAGCTGGATGATGAAGCCGGCGGGCGCCTGCATGGTCCATCGGCACGCCTGAGAGTTGGGGTATATCTGGGGGTAGCAGGGCGAGGTGAACGCCCCCTGGTTCTCCGTCAGCACCAACACACAGCTGGAGGGGCTGCAGCACAGCACTGCAGGCGAGGGGACATTCATGAGCTTTAAAAACACCTCTGAAGAAGGTAGGAGGAAGACCACGCAGAAGACCAGGTGCTAGTAGACGAGACAGAACCAAGGATAGGAGCCCAAACAAGGGAAGACCAGAGACAAAGGAGCCTTGAGAGGTCAAGTGAGGAGGAGTCAAGGACAAACGGAGACGTTGATTATCAAGGATTCACGGACAAAGAGGATTTTTCAAGAAGGAGGTTAGGAGACAGGACACAAGGAGTTAAGGAATGAATCTTTGAGACGTTACACCCCAGGGATCAGAAGAGAAAGAACGAGACGTGCAGTTAAAGGTTCAGAGGGGAATCAGTCGACCAATCCACGGAGAGCAGATTGATCATCAGACAGACAGCTAGTGTTGCATCAGATCCCTCCATCACAGGACTCAATACACACTGTAGTTATACACACTGTAGTTATACACACTGTAGCATCAGACACCATGCACATGCAGAGCATACGCAGTGGGATCGGGGGAAGAGTCACTTTTGAAGGAGAGATTGAGCAGTCATCACTT